TTAGTACTCACATGCTGTGACAGCCGCTTTCTGTGCATGTGCTTCGGATGTGTGCGCTCAGAAAACCATATATCAGAAGTTTAAACTCATATGGTTTAAAACGCATGATTTCAGCGCGATAAACATGACAATCAGAACCATAACAGATGTTTTTAGCAGGTCCGAGCTGTAATGGCACAGCTCTATTCTGGAAAAGGGGGCGGGGAGCAGCAGCTAATTTGCATTTAAAGACACAGGCCCGAAAAACAGCTTGTTTCTGCTTCCACTCAAAATAGGCATTTTCAAAATGATATAATAAATGATCTATGGAGTATTTTGAGCTGAAACTTCACAGACACATTCTGGGGACACCAGAGACTTATATTACATATTGCAAAAAGGGGCATACTATGTCACCTTTAAAGCATTTCAACTGCTGAGTAGTCAAGTCCCAATAGACAAACATTTCTCAACTCAACATGAGACAAATACCCCAAACCCTATTGATTTTTACGTAATGCATACAAGTTGGGGTTTTCTGGTCAGCAGTGTTTTCCACGTCAATCATACACAAACACACTCAAGAAATGGGGTGACTACTTTTCTTTACAAATCTTATCCAGTTCATATAATATTTTGTTTGCTTGGCTGGTATTGTATCTATAAATTGTCCAACCAAGACAACATAATGTCTCAAAATGAATTCAAAGCATCCCAATGGGCGATATTACACTGACTCAGGCACAAGCTTTATCAGACAGATGGTTGATGATTGCCAACAAAACTGACACAGGGTTTTCTGACAGACAGGAGTTTCCTAGAGTTCATCGGGTCACATACTGCCAGTAAATTCATGGAGTCATGTATTTTCCAGACTGCCCAGCTGTGTGTTTGTCTAAGTCAACTTGCCCTCTCCAGGTCTGTTGTGATTGGCTGACTGCTGTCACCCTTCATCATTTAAAGAGGTGAAGCATCTGCTCCATTTTGATAGTCACATCCCAGGGATCCAAAATGAAGGGGCTGCAGTGGACGCTGCTCGGGGTTTTGTGTTGTGCTGGAATCGTGTCTTCTATCACAAGGGAATATTTTTTGGCCATTAAGGAGATTCAGTGGGATTATGCTCCTAGTGGTATAAATCTGATTCAGAACAAAACCATAAAAGAAGATGAGTGAGTACAAACACTGTACAAAACTGAGTTATGAGTTGCAAGAAATTAGCTTATAACATTTTAGTAAACATTTATTCATTTTAAATGCACTCTAGTTGCTATTTAGAACTGATTATTATACTTCTTTGGAACTTTAATGACAATTTCACTTGTATATTGCTCCTGCCTATTATTTAATTTTTTTTAAATTTGCCATACATTGAAAATGAATGATTTCAACAATGAAGATGAATGAGCTCCAGTTGCTTTGTTTCTGCAGATATTTTAGTTGTCAGTGCGAATGCAGCTTTAGAGTCTGGATCTTCAACAAACCCTTAACCCTAAGTAATAAAGTTATTACTTCAGTGCATGTAAAAACTAAATGGAAAATTATGTTTTGGTGTTTGACAGAGAAGCACGGGTGTTTCTGGAGAAGGGTGAGCAGCGGATCGGGCGGGTGTATAAGAAAGCAGTGTACCTGCAATATACTGACGCCACCTACAGGCAGGAGATAGAAAAACCCAAGTGGTTGGGCTACCTCGGACCCCTCATTAGTGCAGAAGAAGATGACGTAGTTATTGTGCATCTGAAGAACATGGCCAAACGAGCGTACTCCATCCATGCACACGGCCTCAGTTACAACAAGTCCAATGAAGGTGATGTCAAATAAGTGTTTGGATTCCTTTGATCACATACTCTTGCTCACAAATTGTTTATCATGGGATTTCTCTCCAGGAGCACTATATCCCGACTCGTCAGAAAAGGTGGAGAAAGCTGATGATTCAGTGGCCCCTGAAAAGTCGTTCACCTATATTTGGACCCTATCGGCTTCCCATACTCCTGGAAAAGATGACACTAACTGCCTGACCAGAATATACCACTCGCATGTTAACGCCCCCAAAGACATCGCCTCAGGTCTCATTGGACCTCTCGTTATATGTAAAAAAGGTACAAACCTTTCTCTTCACTTCAAGGTTCAAATGTCAGGATCTTTCAGTAAAGTTGTGGGTTCAAATACAAGCAACTTTAATATGGATATATACTTTATATGTGACATGAGCTATTTTCCATTTCATGACAATGGAAACCAATTAACACAGTGATTTTCATATGATACACAAAGAATTTACAGCAGTGACAAATAACTGGACATTCATCCACTTAGAAATGTAGTTCCACTTCAAATATGATTAAACACAAATAAGAATAATTAATGTGAAAAAGAAGAATTTCATTAATTCATCATGAATTAATGAAAGAATTTATGGGTTTAAAAGCATTTTTGTCTGGCCACTTAGGGAAAAAACTCAGGGAGGAGTCAAAAAGTTTTATCTGATTTTTTATCAATATAGATCTGATATCTGTCAATATGTGCCACTATTAGAGCCGAAACTTTCTGTTAAGACTTGGAAAAAAAGTTGTAAAGAGTACAATAAGTTTTATGCATATTACGCAATGAGCATTTGAACAGACTTTTCAATCAGGGTTTCAGGAACCTAGCAATTTAACAAAAAACTTAAGATAAGTCTGTTCTAAACATCTGGCTAGCTGCTACACAGTGACAATTTGGAATGCAAATGATGACTCAAATGATTATGTACTTTAAAATTATTGACACAAATTCTTATAAAAAAGTTGACCGCCATGAAAGTCATTGTATACTGTAATTAACACACTTCAAGTTCTGATATAGTCCACTAACAATTAATGATTCTTTGTTGTTTGTGCAATTCTTAGGCTCTCTAGATGTGCATGGGGACAAGACAGCTGACTATCTTTACGCCCTCATGTTCACGGTGTCTGACGAGAACCTCAGCTGGTACCTGGATGAAAATATCAAGACCTACTGCTCAGCTCCTGCCAAAGTCAACAAGGATGATGAAGGCTTCCAGGAAAGCAATAAAATGCACTGTGAGTTTAGTAATAATGTCCTAGAATAATGTCTCAATGATAGCATGAACTGTGAACAGGCCATCAGATCAAACCCTGTTCTAGGCACATTTTATGAATTAGCTAGAATACTAGTATACTGTAGAGTATATCCTATGTACTACTATTTATTAAAAATAGTCTGAAATCTCAACTTCCTTTCTGAACTTTACTGCAGCTATCAACGGGTATGTCTACGGCAACCTGCCGGACCTCAGTATGTGCATGGGCAATAAGATCCACTGGCACTTGTTTGGGATGGGGAACGAGGTGGACCTCCACTCAGCCTTCTTCCATGGACAGATCCTGACGGACAAACGGCACCATGTTGACACCGTCAGTCTGTTCCCGGCTACTTTTGTTAATGTAGAGATGGTGGCAGATAATCCCGGCCAGTGGCTCCTCAGCTGCCAGGTCAATGATCATCTGGAAGGTACAGAAAGGCCAGATCTGACAATATGAATGCAAAAATTCTGCATTGTTATAATTGCTGTGTTGCATTTAATGACATTTCTCCCCACTTTTAGCTGGCATGCAAGCCATTTTTGAGATTAAGAAGTGTTTCCCAAATGTACATAAACCCAGACCGTTTGGAGAAGTGAGACAGTATTACATTGCTGCTGAGGAAATCATTTGGGATTATGGGCCAACGGGGATAAACCAGTATTCAGGGAAGAAACTAGCTGATGACAGGTAAAAATATGATTTTAATCTCTATACTGAGAGACATATTAAAGTCAAAGGGAATGTCCTTTTGTCCTTACATTTGAGCGTGTGTCTCTGAATATCCACAGTGTATCTGACACTTTCTTTGAAAACCGCAATGATCGCATTGGGGGCAAATACAAGAAGGTCCAATATGTGGAATATACTGACGACACATTCTCCAAACGCAAAGAGAGGACCCCTGAGGAGCAGCATCTGGGAATTCTGGGTAATTATAAAGCAGTTTCTATAGATAAACAAATGTTGTCGACAGAGCAGAATGAACAGCAGTGATTTGCAGATTGTATTTGTATTGAATTTGTGACAGCTTTGATTGTTATGAGATTATTAAAAGTATAAATTAGTGTTTATGGGATGTTTTTTTTAGGTCCAATCATCAGAGCAGAGGAAGAGGACACAATTAAAGTAACATTTAGAAATAAAGCAAGCAGGCCCTACAGTATCCAACCTCACGGAGTGCAATATAACATAGAAATGGATGGAACTCTCTACCACAACGTCCTGGAAGGTACAGAACAAACCTCTTTGAATAAATATATAAAAATGTATGACAGACTTAAACTTAATATCATTCTTTTCCATTCTTTTTTTTTCTATGCAGAGTCATACACTGCCAAGAAGCTTCGTGAACTCAAGAAAGAAGCAAGTAAGAAAAAGACCTCACTGATATACAGAAAGATCTGGAAATTAAGGGATAAGCAAACCCAGACTGTTGTCTACTAAGTCTAATATTGAATCAAGGCCATGGATCATTGCGCAAAAGTGTATTTTCCAGTCCTGGCTGGACTCAACAAATCAAACAAATCAGTCCAAATCCATGAGAGACCAAAGTTCCCTCTCTGAATTATCTGGGTGAGAGTGAACGCATGACTTGCTTTACCGAGAGCGAACAGAGGGGAAAACTGAATCAAGTTCACCCTATTCGCTTCCTTAATACTTGTTTCTGGTCTCATTGTGAACAATTCACAGTTCCATTACGCTATATGAAAAAAAAGTATTCATAATCCATTCACTAGCTATTGATCCATCCATTTTCTATACCAATATGTAGGGTTGCAGGGATTCTTTCTTATTCCAGTCAAAAAGCCCTTTAAAAATGGGTACTGCCGGTGTTTCATGGTCCACTATCCCATGGGTGTCAAATCCTGCACCTGCATTGCAGTGTTTATCTTGAATCCTAATATTCTAATTAAACACAACCAAAACCTTCCAACTATGATCTTTAGGATCACTAGAAACTTCTAGGAATGTGTGTTGGCTCTGGTTGGAGCTGAACTATACAGGACATTGACCCTCCAGGAGCAGGACTGGACAACCTTGCACTATCCAAGTCAAATCAAGTCAAGTCACCTTTATTTATACAGCGCTTTATACAATACAGATGGTGTCAAAGCAGCTTTACAGTGTTAAACAGGAAAATAATGTTTCGATAATGCAAACAAAATTCAACTCTGCTTTAACGCAGCTATAAAAAGAGGACAATAGTAAACAGTTTAGTTTTTTCCAGTTAAAGGCATCATTGATTCAGTGATATCATTGTCCAGCTCAGTTCAGTTCTCTTCCAGTAGTGTCTGTGCAATCAAGCCGACAATATTGACAAACATTAAGTGTCCCCATTCAGCTCTAAATCCATCTTGGTAATTCTTGGGTAAAATCAAGTCTGGTCCTTCATATTATTTATAAGGCAAAAAAACAATCACTGAATGTAGAAATGTTGAAGTTGTATGTTGTTCATCTCTTTCAGGAGTGGTCGAGCCACTTCCTGCTGCATTGGTCCGACCTGACACCACCTACCAGTATGAGTGGGTGGTTCCTAAGGATGGAGGACCGACCGAAAAAGATCCAGACTGCATCACCTACATGTACTACTCAGCTGTGGATCCCATTAGAGACACCAACTCTGGGCTGGTTGGACCTCTTCTGATCTGCAAACCCAAAACCATCAAATCAGGAAAGCAGGTGCGGGACGAGGATGCTGAGCATTTTCACATTTGTAAAATGTGTAGAGCTTTGCCAATATTTGTTTTTTTCCATCCCAGAAAAACGTGGACAAAGAGTTCCACCTTCTTGCAACTGTGTTTGATGAGAACCTGAGCTGGTATTTGGATGACAACATCAACAGATTTGCAAAACAGCCTAAATCTGTAAATAGAGAAGATGAAGATTTTCAAGAGTCCAATAAAATGCACTGTAAGCCTTAGTCACACTCCTTGAGAAAACATTTTGCATTTCTGCAGCACACAAACCATATATTTTTTTTTTGCTAATATTTGTTTTTCATTCACAGCGCTCAATGGATACATGTATGGGAATCTGAAGGGCTTGAGTATGTGTAAAGGTGATAAGGTGTCCTGGCATCTGTCCGGACTAGGATCAGAGGTTGACATCCATGGACTTTACTTTGAGGGCAACCGGTTCCTCTACAAAGACACCAGGAGAGACACCATAAACGTGTTTCCTCATATCTCTCACACTGTCATTATGGAGCCTGACAGCATGGGTACAGTCCCATCCCTTCTCTCTTTGATCTCGCTGTGACAAAGAACAACTATGTGCCACATTTAAAGTCTTATTATAATACCATGGTATTTTAATCAACTTAAAACAGTGTTGTTAAATTCTCATTTTGATCAGCTGACGTTCAACCAATGTTGTTCCAAATCTGTATGCATTTCTTCTGCGGAAAAAACATTTTATTTTGAAATATATTTTTGTCCATACAAAGTCAGTGGACCAAATTGAAAATTCTTCAAAATATCTTTTGAACCTCACTGAACATTGTTAAATCTATGCTTAAAACAGCAAAATCAGCATCACTTACATGATCACATAAATTGTGCATTTAAGAATAAACATCAGAGTTGTACACATATTGTGCTGTTCTGATGATGTAACCTGTGGCATCTGCAGGACAGTTTGAGGTGGGATGTAAAACCACAGATCATTATCATGGAGGCATGAGAGCCAACTACACCGTGGAGAAGTGCCGCTTCTGGAACCGTCAGTCTGAGACGATGCTACACCAGAAGAAGTATTACATCGCTGCAGTTGAGATGGACTGGGACTATTCACCCACCCGCACATGGGAGGAACAGATGTACTATAGTCTGAAAGACAGGTATTCCAAGTCCTTCACCAGAACTCATGAATACCATTTGCAAAGATTCACAATGAACACAAGTGGTGGATAGCATCATTGACACCAAACGTGGTTTATATGCCAAGCATCAACATACAGATGTGGATGAGATTTGAGATTTATGGTGAAAGGCAAGATTATCAGCGAATAAATGCATCGGTGACACCAAACCCCACTGGTTCTTGAGTGAGTTGTGACATAATGTGTCCAACTAAGTTTTAAGTGTAGCTTAGTTTGTTGTGTAGTGTAGTTTTGGTCTAAATTCAATATACAAAGTCTATTCAGGTAATATCTATGAAAAGAGAATTGTTTTGTGTGTGTGTGTGTGTGTGTGTGTGTGTTTGTGTTTGTATTACACGCAAGTTCTAAATCGTATTTATTTTGATAAATTCAGTCCAGGCAATGAATTCCTCAAGAAAGAAGGCAAATTCATTGGTTCAAAATATAAGAAGGTGCTGTACAGAGAGTACACTGATGAAACCTTCACCAAACCCAAGGAAAGATCTGCTGATATGGAACACTTGGGAATTATGGGTACATATTTATAGAATATGCTGTACATTGATGGTTGACTATAATTTGGTGTATATGTTTGTTAACCTTCAAAATATGCTCATCTCAGGACCCATGATCCACGGTAAAGTGGGAGAAAAAGTGAAGATTGTGTTTAAGAACATGGCTAAGAGGCCGTACTCCATACATGCCCATGGAGTTAAAACTGACAGTCCTCAGGTGGCCCTGACACGTCCAGGTAAGGTCTGACAGTTGAATATTAGACAATTAAATTTTTGTTTATTAAGTCTAAATGCATGTATTGTTTACTCAAGGTGAAACTCAGACCTATACCTGGTACCTCCCAAAGAATTCTGGGCCGACAGAAGAGCAGGAGGAATGCAGTGTTGGAGCGTATTACTCCACCGTAGATGTTATCAAGGTACCTTTTTCACCAAGTGAAACTAGGTCATGGGACCTTGTTCAAAACAAGTGTGATGTTTCCTAAAACCTAATGATCTTGCTTTCCGTCTTATGGCAATTCATAGCTATTTTACCTTTTGGCAAATTGGTGGCAAATTCATATCTCATTTGTACATTTTCATCTTATATGTAGGGTATGGCACTTGAGTGGTTCAAATCCTTTCTTTTTAATAGGATGTTTTCAGTCCATTTTGGTCAACATTACTCTAAAACGGCCCCATTGTCTAGTGGAGTCCCACAAGGATCCATTCTCGGCCCAGTCTTGTTTTCATTATATATGTTACCCTTAGGTTCTATATTTCATAAGCATGGAGTATCTTTTCATTGTTATGCAGATGACACTCAGGTGTATCTACCTTTGCAGAAACAGGATAAAAGCTCTTTTGAGTTGTTTACATGAAGTTAAATCTTGTATGTCACAATTATCTGAATTTGAATGAAAGCAAAACTGAAATAATCTGGTTTGGGGCTCCTGACACCCAAAACTCTTTTGACTTGGGCAATTTAGCTCCCTTCTGTAAATCTGCGTGGAAGAACCTTGGTGTCCAATTTGATAGTTCTTTGAAATTTGATAAACAGATCAACTCTGTGGTCAAATCTTGTTTCCTCTATTTAAGATCAATAGCAAAGGTTAAACTGTTTCTGGCCTCCAGTGATTTTGAAAGTATTATTCATGCTTTTATTTCTGTAAAACTAGATTGCTGTAACTCACTGTATGTGGGTCCAAATGGATGTTGAGTAGCAGAGACCCTTTGTTCAAAAATAACTGGGAGCAAACGTGACTGAATATGTAGAGTTGTATGTCTTGTTATTTTAATCAAAATATCAATAACTAACGATTGATTTTGCATGATCTTGCATTCCTGGCAGGCTGACAGAAATGACTGTCATTATGACCACTATCTATTTATTATCGCTATCCAATCTATTTATTCAAAGTTTCTCAAGATCAAATAATAATTCATAGTTATTCTATTCTTTTGACTCACTATTGAGTTGTTTACAAGAAGTTAAATCTTGGATGTCACAAAATTATCTGAATTTGAATGAAAGCAAAACTGAAATAATCTGGTTTGGGGCTCCTGACACCCAAAACTCTTTTGACTTGGGCAATTTAGCTCCCTTCTGTAAATCTGCGTGGAAGAACCTTGGTGTCCAATTTGATCGTTCTTTGAAATTTGATAAACAGATCAACACCGTGGTCAAATCTTGTTTCTTTTATTTAAGATCAATAGCAAAGGTTAAACCGTTTCTGTCCTCCAGTGATTTTGAAAGGGTTATTCATGCTTTTATTTCTGTAAAACTGGATTACTGTAACTCACTGTATGTGGGTATTAGCCAAGTATTGTTAAATCGTCTTCAATTGGTTCAAAATGCGCCTGCTAGGCTTTTAACAGGTACTCGCTAAAATCTGTGTCACGTGTTGTTTATTACGTCACTTCAGTGGTTGCCAGTGCAGTACAGAATTGATTTTAAACTATTGATTGTTGTATATAAAGCATTTCAGAATTTGGCCCCACCATATTTAGTGGATCTCCTTCGTATATACAAACCATCCAGGTCTCTCAGATTAGCAAATCAAATGATCCTAGACAGTCCAAGGACTAGATTGAAATTGAGTGGTGACTGGGCATTTGCAGTTTTTTTCAACAGGGGTAGCAGCTCCGAAGCGCTGGAATAAGCTACCTCTACATCTCAGACTGTCTCCGTCATTAGGTTATTTTAAACCAAAATTGAAAGTGCATTTACTTGAATTAGAGTTTGGTTCTGCAGACTAATTAGCAAGAGGCTTTTTTATAAGATTTGTTGTTGTTGGTCATTGTTTGTCTGAAAGTTAATACTGTGTAATTTTTATTTAGAGATTGCAACAAAAAATGTTGAGAAAACAAAGAAACAAACCATGGCTTTACTACAACTAAAACCAAAATAACATGGTTACTAAAGTTAAACCATGGTAACCACAAATTAATCACGGTTTTGCTACACTAACCATAGCTTAACCATGGTATTTGTAGTAAATCTGTGGTTATACAAATGGTAATCAATGCGCCAAAAAACTTTTTTTATTTGATGGGGTTGTGTGTAGTATCCTGAAATTAAAACTCTGCCTTCGAAGTGCAAAGGAGACTTCAGTCACAGTTGTTTTCAACAGAGTTTGACGTTAGCATATTGCTAAGCTAAAAGCATGATAGCTGAGAGTACACAAAATATAAAACGGGCCAGTTTAAATTAACTGAATGCATTTGTTTTACTTTTTTCAGTAGTATATGAAATGTAGTTCATCAACATTTCTCTTGACTCGTCCACCATTTTGGATAATTTATTTGAAATGCATTCAGTGCAAATGTGACGCTGCCTTAGAATTTGGTCCAAAAAAGGTGTCTTAGAAGGTAACACACTTATATCTGTAGAAGTTTTGGAAAGCAACCAGAGTCTATCTGATCGGTCTAGTCTGATGAGATCTGTCTTCTCATGCAGGACATGTACAGTGGCTTGATCGGTCCGCTGGTCATCTGCAAGAAGAGCCTGGCACGTACACTGGGGCTGAAGAAAGAGATCGAGGAGTTCGCTCTGCTCTTCGTGGTCTTTGATGAGAATGAATCTTGGTATCTGGATGACAACATAAAAGCTCATGTTAAAAACCCTCCCAATGCACTGAAGGAGGATGAAGAGTTTATCGAAAGCAACAAGATGCATGGTGAGTTCAATGTCTCTGGGTTGCATGATTTTGGTCATGGTTTTTGAGGATGAGGACATGTCAGACAGTTAGTAAGACTGCATTTTAATTCTCAAATAATTGAGAACTTCTCATAGAGTGGTTCTAGCACTTTTAGTACTGTTAAACACACCCTGTAAAATGTCCTTTCTTAATTAAAATATCATTGCCTCAGCATTAAAATATAAGCAACATTCCTGTTATTATTAGTCACCAAAAGCTCTAGTGTAAAATGGCCAAAATGTTAAGATAGGCCTGATGTGTTGATGATAAACTAGTGGTTATTCCGTTGTTCATCACAGGAATCAATGGTTTAGTCTACGGCAATCTTAAAGGCCTGAACATGAAGGTTGGAGATAAAGTGTACTGGTATCTGATGGGAATGGGAAACGAGGTGGACATACACACTGCACACTTCCACGGCCATAGCTTTGACTACAAGGTTATCCATCCATCCCACTCACATTTTCACACATGTAAAAAAATCTTCTAGAGCATCAGTGTGATGACCATGGGCTTTTCCCGCAGGTCAGCGGCACACATCGAGCAGACGTGTTTGATCTGTTTCCCGGGACGTTCCAGACAGTCACCATGCGTCCGCTGTATTCTGGCACCTGGCTCCTGCACTGTCATGTCACCGACCACATCCAGGCCGGAATGGAGACCACATACACCGTACTCGAGAAAGATGGTGAGTTGCCACGTTTATGAGATTTAGTAATTGGATGTACAAGAAAGAATAACATGTTTTACTACCCTGTTATGCGAAGCTTACACTCCAGCTCTTTAATACATAAAGTGAGAGCGGGGCATGTTGTCACATGCAAGCCCAGTTACACAAATGTTTGTTTCGTGATTAATTAAATGGGCATACTTTACCAACTACACAAACTAAATAATGTCATTTTCTTTATTTTTTTAGGAAAAAGGAGGGGCTTCCTGGGTTTGTTTGGTAGTGGTTGAAATTCTATATGCCTGTAAAAGGACGTTTGTGTTAATTCTTGCCCATGATTTTTCTAAATAAACACTTGTAGTTATTTGAATTACTTTGTGTTTTGCGAAAGAGCAGAAAAACATTTCTGGCTTGCTTAAAAATACTATTGAAATCAACATGGCATTCAAAATAATTTTACTTCATAACCTTCACCATCTAATCAAATTAAAGAATTTTTTTTCTTTTTTGCACAATAAGATAAGGAAAGAAGACATTAAATAGGGTTGACTCAGTAAGAAAATAGTAAAAGAAAGACATGAATTTTGTTACTGTAGCTTTAAAATATAACAAATATACACAGTATACGATAATGTTTACAAAACGAGCTACACATAACATTCTGTATTTGAATATAATTTAATAAAAAAACTAAAAAGGACACTTTATAATGTTCATTCTGAGAAATCAGATGACAGCTGCATTATGGGTAATGTGCACACAAATATTTGACAAACATTCAAATAAAAACAGTACAAGCCTAACAATTGAAAAATCGATCAAAATCATTATATATAAATACAGACTACAAAATACATTCACATATATATATATATATATATATATATATATATATATATAT